CTGTGATGCCATTTGGTCTTTGTAATGCCCCAGCAGTGTTTCAAGAATTTATTAATGACATATTACGAGAGTTCATTCACACATTTGTAATAGTGTACTTGGACGACATATTAATATATTCAACAGATTTGCATACTCATCACATGCATGTTAAAACAGTTTTGAAAACCCATCTTGTTTATTTGATCAATCCGAAGTCCAGTTTTTGGGGTATTTAATTTCTGCCAAGAGCTTTCGTATGGATCCCCAGAAGCTTTCTGCTGTCATAGAATGGCCTCTACCTCAAGGTCTGAAAGCCATTCAGCGTTTTCTTGGTTTTTCTAACTATTATAGAGCTTTATTAAAGGTTTTTCTTCTATTGTAGCGCCTATAACCCGTATGACTAAAAAGGATGGCAATACTCGTATCTGGTCCCCAGAGGCGCTTGAGGCTTTTGAATTTCTTAAGACTGCGTTCGCCTCAGCTCCTATTTTACTGCATCCTGTCCCTTCTTTGCCTTATATTCTTGAAGTTGATGCTTCAGATATTGGGGTAGGTGCTGTCTTATCTCAAAGAGAATCACCTGAAAAGCCATTACATCCTTGTGGCTTCTTTTCCAAGCAGTTGTCCAAAGCCAAAAAGAATTATGATATAGGCAATTGAGAACTCCTTGCTATTATTTTAGCACTTAAGGAGTGGAGACATCTTTTAGAGGGTACTAAGGATCCCATCCTCATTTTTACCGATCACAAAAACCTTTCCTACCTTAGTGAAGCCAAAAGATTGTCTTCTAGGCAGGCCAGGTGGTCACTGTTTTTATCTCATTTCAATTATATCATCACCTACAGACCAGGTGATCGTAACACTAAAGCCGACGCTCTGTCCAGACAATTAGAAACTACCAACAAACAAGAGTTTTTGATGATACCCCTGTCATTCCCCCGAACAGAATAATAGCTACTACGGTTCTATCTATTTCTTCATTACTCTTGCAAGTTATACAGGCTAAACAAAACATGGCACCCAGAGAGAGACCTGCTGATAAACTGTTCGTTGATGTTCCCGAAAGACGGGACATTATGTCATTATATCATGACACCAAAACTGCTGGACATCCTGGTATTTTCAAAACCTTAATAGCTATTTCTAGATATTTTTGGTGGGCTTCCTTACGCAAGGATGTCACCGATTACGTTCAGGCATGTACTACTTGTGCCAGTATGAAGTCTTCTCATAGAGTTCCTTGTGGGTTGTTGCACCCGTTGCCCATACCTGAGAGGCCTTGGTCCAATCTATCCAGGGATTTTATTGTTGAATTGCCTCCTTGTTATGCTACAAGGGTTTCTGGAATTGGAACTCAACTGCAGCTTGTAGAAATCCTTAATTACAATAGAAATGAAACGGAGAATCTTCTAAATTATCAATACTGTAGCTTTAAGCAAATAGGTGATTGAAGGCAATTAGAGAATTAAACAAAGTTTTAATGATTGCAATAAATTTTAGTAACTGTGAATAATAGCATATAGGCAATAATTCAATAAGAAGAAACTGTAGATTATGGCAAGCAAAACACAGTTCATAAATAAGTAAATCCTCAGAGATGATTTGAATAGTATACTTAAGCTTGATGGGAGTTATCTTCCATAGGAATAGCATGCAGTCAGCAGTAAAGATTTTAGCAAGCAAGAAACAATTCAGTTATAACTGAGTCTCCAGAGAATAGAATGCAAATTATACTTAAGATTTATGTGAGTAGTCCTCCAAGAGATCGGAATTAGAGTCCAAGTATAAATTGGTAAACAGTCCGTTTTCCAGGATCCAATAGAGGATGTAAAGCACAATCCTTTTAGTAGTTCATAGGGTAAGGGAGGCTTGCGAGTGAAGCTTGTGTAGCCAGCGTCTAAACACGGAAGTAGGTCCCAAAATCACCAAGCCGGTTGTATCTGGCGCGGTCTCTCTAAATAGCGTAAGAGAGCCGCGTCAGAAAGGGGGCGGGTCTGGTCTGCATAGCGGAAACACCGGACCCGGAACAGATACGGCATGACACTCCTTCAAATGGTAAAACAGTCATCCTGATGATAGTGGATCAATTTTCTAAGATGGCTTATTTTGTGTCTCTTGCCAAATTGCCCTCATCCAGGGAACTTGCTTCTATCTTCGCCAGGGAGGTGTTTCGGTTGCATGGTATTCCTGTATCGATTGTATCCAATAGGGGTAGCCAATTTATTTCCAGATTCTGGAAAGCCTTTTGTTCAGAGATGGGTATTTCTCTCTCATTTCCTCCGCTTTCCACCCCCAGTCTAATGGAGCTGCTGAACGTGCCAACCAATCCCTAGAGCAGTATCTTCGTTGTTTTGTATCCCACCATCAGAACAATTGCGTTGACCTTCTTCCTTGGGCTGAGTTTGCTCGTAATAACGCGGCTCATGAATCTTCTGGTAAAAGCCCTTTCTACGTTGTTTATGGCCGGCATTCTATTGTTCTTCCAGCTGCATTCTCCTTACAGGGCATGCCAGTTCTGGATGAACATTTGGCTGGTTAAGTACTACTTTCGAGCAGGTTCAGCGTTCTTTGGTGGACTCCGCTGCTCGCCAAAAGGTTCAAGCTGACAAGTATCGCAGGGCAGCTCCATCCTATGTCGTGGGGGAAAGGGTTTGGCTTTCCACTCGCAATATCTGCCTTCGTGTGCCTTCTATGAAGTTGGCTCCTCGTTGTATCGGTCCTTTTCGTATCTTACATAAAGTTAATCCTGTTTCATATGCCTTGGATCTTCCTTGAAACCTACGTATTCCTAACGTCTTTCACACCTCCTTGTTGAAACCCCTCCTGTGTAACCGTTATACCCAGCATGTTCCTCCTCCTCCTCCTGTTTCTGTGGAGGGTCATGAGGAATTCGACGTAGCTGCTGTGCTTGCCTCTCGTTTTCTCAGGGGTCGCCTCCAGTACCTGTTCACGCTCCTCGCCTTGTGTGTTCCTTCCATTCACTTTTTCCTGCCAGGCCTGGTCCTCCCCGCCCGGTGGGCGTGTCTTCAGGGGGGGTACTGTAGCGGTACTTACCTTATCCGGGGGCCGGCCGAGGTCCTCTATCCCCGCCGCGCGCTGCTCGCTCAGGGCTCAGTTGTCGGCGGGCACTGACCGCAAGATGCTGTCACGTGTCCCGTCTAGCTCTAAGAGCGTGCCGCGCGTCTCGGGCACGCTCTTAAAGGGACAGTGGGAGCCGAAAACTAAAACGGTCTCCCATTGGCCCCTGTCATCCCACATTCCCCATACAGGGGCGTGGATATGACAGGGGCCAATCAAATTAAATGCTAGGGTATTTATACTTACCTCTCCCTTAACTCCCTGCCCTATCGTGGTTTCTGTTTCAGTTCCCTTTAGCGCTTGTTGTGTTCAGTTGTGATTTTTTCGTACTTGACCTTGGCTTTGTATCTGACTCCGTTTATCTCTTTATCCCTGTTTTATCTTGTTTGCTTACTGATTATTGTGTACCAGACCTTGGCTATTCTTGTTTTCGCTGTCTCTTTGTACCCTTGACCTCAGGTAGTTCCTGTCTTTCTCTGCTCTACGTCGAGTCTGGCCATTCTAAGGTCCGGTAAGACGTATCTGTCTATATTGTCAATTGTTGGACTAAATCTTGCGTGTTGGGGTATACTACCGTGACAGGAGGCTGACAATACTGTTTTTTGTAATTGTGGTAGCCAACAAAATATTGGGACATATAACAAAAGAAACATTTGCGGCCTGCGGTGCATTTCTTGCAGTCCTGATGCATGGAGAAATGCCCAACTCCTGATGCATGGAGAAAAGGCCTTCACAAGCATCTGCTAATGTGTACCTAGTTTATACTAAGTGACCCATAGCTTGAGGAGGCGGTGACTGTGGAGGTGGAGGAGAAGGATGAGGTAGCCAACACTGTTATTTATGTTTTTTGTTTTTTTAATTGTGGTAGCCCACAAAATATTGGGACATAAAACAAAAGAAACATTTGCGGCCTGCGGTGCATTTCTTGCAGTCCTGATGCATGGAGAAATGCTCAACTCCTGATGCATGGAGAAAAGGCCTTCACAAGCCTCTGCTATTGTGTACATAGTTTATACTAAGTGACCCATAGGTTGAGGAGGCGGTGACCGTGGCGGTGTAGGTGGAAGCAGTGGTGGAGGAGGAGGAAGAGGTAGCCAACGCTGTTTTTTATATATATATATATATATATATATATATATATATATATATATATATATATTTTTTTTTATTAATTGGGGTAGACCTCAAAATATTGGGACATATAAAAAAAAAAAAACTGTTCCGGAGAGCGACTGAACCCGTGCATGCTGCATCTGAAACTCCACTATCGCCTGCTACTGCTCGCACAGTCTCATGAGGCAGTGAGCGTGGAGGCCGAAGTTACGCTGCAGCGCAGACAGGCGAGCAGCAGCAGGGTGAGAACGACGAAAGTGCGCACAGACAGCCCTCACTTTATGCAGCAGCACTGAAATATCTGGGTAGACACCGTGGCATTACAAGGGCCACCCAGAACTAGCTTAACTCCCATCAAGCCAAGTTCCCGGAGGAGATCACCCAGCTCATCATGCTAGAGCACTTTTTCAATGTGCTCCCCAACGACAAGGCGACAACGCATTCGTATGTCAATCCATATCAACTTTCGATGCCATTTACGTCGCCTACCATGGTGACCACGGGTAATGGGGAATCAGGGTTCGATTCCGTACAGGGACCCTGACAAACAGCTACCACATGCAAGGAAGGCATCAGGCGCGCAAATGACCCACTCCCGATGCGGGGAGGTAGTGACGACAAATAACAATACAGGACTCTTTAGAGGCTCTGTAATTGTAATGAGTCCACTTGAAATCATTTAACTCTGATCAACTGGAGGGCAAGTCTGGTGTAGAGTGACTGACCCGTGAGTGCTGCAGCTGAAACTCCACTATTGCCTGCTGCTGCTGCTCGCACAGTCTCTCCAGCATGTGCAAGGTGGCGTTCCACCTTGTGGGCACGTCACATATGAGACGGTGAGCGGGAATGCCAAAGTTACGCTGCAGCACAGACAGGCGAGCATCAGCAGGGTGAGAACGCCGAAAGTGCGCACAGCCGCTACAGGGTATGTCATCCTGTTCCAAGTTGCGCATCAGTCTGGTGATGGCTTCTGGTATCCAGTACTCTTTTTACTGAAGCTGCATCAGGGTCCTGGTATGTGGCCGCACAAACGCTGGTGCTCAACACCAGTGGGTGTGCGGTTACCCTGCACCAGACTCTGCTAATCCATTCCACACTGTGACTCCTAACTTCAACATCAGGCATACTGGGTCCCGGTCGTCCGACCGTCGTCCAGACATTGTCTGGGTCACCGGACTGCGAAACTGCGAATGCCTCGTTAAATCTGTTATTGTTACATTTATTGCTCCATCTGTTACTTGGATAACTGTGGGAATCCTAAAGAAAATACATGCCGACGAGCGCTAGGGGACGGCTGCTCCTCTTTTGCACCCTGCTCCCTCTTATGCTGTGCTGGTGCCTCTGTGCGACAAGCGCCTCTTCCTCCAAACTGCACACGTCACTCGCATGACCTTGATTCCATGTAGGGTCTAGGACCTCATTATCCTCCATGTCACCTTCCACCCACTCCTCAACCCTGCCCTCATTGCTGGTCTGCACGCTGCAGAATGCCACAGCAGTTGGCACCTGTATTTTTCCAGCATGTAAAGTCTTCCAAGGACATTGTTTTAGAATTGTATCCAGGCAACAGTTTTCCCTATAAACTGACCTCTCAGTTTGACTTGTGAGGGTATTACCCCGGAATTACAATATAATATTGGTATTTGACGCTTCTATTTGACTCTCAGATATGAAGAGCAGGCCCCAAAATGTTCTATTTAGCAGATTAGCAACCAGAAAATAAGAATGTTTACAATTGCCCTGTAAGCGCATTATTAAACGCTTCTATTTGATTCTCAGATATGAAGAGCACGCCCAAAATGTGCTATATACCAGTTTAGCAGCAAAACAATTAGAATGTTTACAACTGCGCTGTAAGCACACTATTTGATGCTTCTATTTGAATCCCAGATATGAAGAGCAGTCCCCAAAATATACTATTTAGCAGATTAACACAAAACAATTAGAATGTTGACAACTGCGCTGTAAGCGCACTATTTGACACTTCTAATTGACTCTCAGATATGAAGTGCACCCCACTAATGTACTTTTTAGCATCCAAAAAATGTTAAGCTTTAACCCCTTAAGGACGGAGCCAAATGTACACATTGTGAACAAAACAAAATGTAAACAAAACCTGGCATTTGCGCTACATGTCTGTCCAACCGTAATACACCTCTTTCATATTAAATACACCCACCCTTATTATATATATCATTTTATTCAGGGGAAACAGGGCTTTCATTTAATATCAAATATTTAGCTATGAAACATAATTTAATATGAAAAAAATGGGAGAAAATAAGATTTTTTTTATTTTTTTAGTTCTAAATTGCATTTTAAAGGTCAGTGTCATAATACTGTTTGATTTTACTGCAATAAAATACACATATTTGTATTTAGTAAAGTCTCACGTGTAAGACAGTACCCCCTATGTACAGGTTACATTTGAAATTGAAATTCGCCAGATTGGTTACGTTGCCTTTGAGACTGTATAGTAGCCCGGGAATGAAATTTACACCCATAATGGCATACCATTTGCAATAGTAGACAACCCAAGGTATTGCAAATGGGGTATGTCCAGTCTTTTTTAGTAGCCATTTGGTCACAAACACTGGCCAAAGTTAGCGTTAGTATTTGTTTGTGTGTGAAAATGCAAAAAATGCCAATTTTGGCCAGTGTTTGTGACTAAGTGGCTACTAAAAAAGACTGGACATACCCTGTTTGCAATACCTTGGGTTGTCTACTATTGCAAATGGTATGCCATCATAGGGGTAATTTTCATTTTTGGGCTACCATAGGGTCTCAAAGGCAACGTAACCAATCTGGCGAATTTTAATGTGAAAAAACTGAAACGCAAGCCTTATATTTGATGCTGTAACTTTTGAAAACACCATAAAACCTGTACATGAGGGGTACTGTTGTACTCGGGAGACTTCGCTGAACACAAATATTTGTGTTTCAAAACAGTAAAAAGTAAAAACTAGCAAATTAAATTCCCTTTACTTTCGGCATGGGTTGTCAGGCAGGTCCTGCTAATTGTAATTAATTAAGATACCTAATTATGTAAAAATATTACATAAATATATATGTAGAATCAATATATGTATATATATATACGTATGTGTATATATATGTATATATCTATATAATTTTTAAAAAATATTTTTATTTATATATAGGTATATATATAGTGATATATACGTATATATTTATGTGTATAAATATATATATTATTTCGTTCTATGTGTATTTTGATATATATATATATTAATTTCACAATACAGTTAGAACGAAATAACACACATCTATATATTTTTAATTATTTATTTTTAATTATTTTTATAATTTTATTTTTTAACGTATTTACATTTTAATTTTTTTTATAATATATATAAATATATATATAACAATAATTATATATATATTTAATCAGTATCAGTCTACGTATAATTTGATATTAATATATATATATAATTATATATATATTAATAGTAAAATACACCTAGACGGTGTATGTGTGTGTATGTATATGTGTATATATATACTTAGATCATATATATATATATAATATATATATATGATCTAAGTATATATAATAATTTTTTTTACACCATTAACTTATTTTACTTTTATTTTCAGCCAGCAGGGGGACCACCTGTCATTACAGGCAGCCCCCCTGCCGGCAATACAGAAGCCAGCTATACCCGGCCATGTGATTGTGGGGTCCTCGCCAGGACCCCACTCTCACATGGCCGGGGGGCTTCAACGAGGACGGATGTGCCGCGGGGGGCTCCCTGGGAGTCCCCCCAACCGCGATCGCCGGCGTGGGACCGCCGGCGACCGGGTAAGTTAACAAAAACCGGAGGGCGTACAATTACGCCCGGCGGCGTTTAGAGCCGCCTATTAGAGGGCGTAATTGTACGTCCTCCGGTTTTAAGGGGTTAAAACTGCAATGTGACAGCAGTATTTGACGCTTCTATTTGACTCTCAGATATGAAGTGCACCCCACTAATGTACTAGTTTGCAGAATTCTTTCCTAATCTGTCCCTGAAAGCGGAAACATCCTCTCCCTACACTAATAAGAGCTCATGTGCGTGCGGCGCTACGCGACTCCAGCTTATATATAGAGGCTGGGTCACATGCTGCACTGGCCAATCAGAGCCATGCCATTAGTAGGCATGGCTGTGATGGCTTCTAAGGGCACACAAGTCAAATGCTTGTTGATTGGCTGCCTGCAGCCTTTCAAAACGCGCCATTAAATCACCGAACACCGAACTCCAAACCGAACATACAGTGATATGTCCGTGTTCGGGTCCGGGGTCCAAAAAACGTAATGTTCGGTATGAACCCGAACTTTACAGTCCAGGTTCACTCAACTCTATTAGTAAATAAGGGAGTTTAAAATGTAAATTCTGCCCCTATTTGCTATACGGCGAGTAGGAACAGGTCTACTGGAGTTTGCTTGAAAGTAGGCTATTTAAAGTAGTCTCTTTTTTTTTTTATATTCTTTCTTTATTTAACACTAAAAACAACAAAAAAGAACTCATTATACATTATACAATCTTTAACATGCATTTAACAGCAATATTACCTAAAAGATTGCATTTAAGCTCTAATATCACCATTTTGAGTTATTCATCAATACAAATTTTTACACACTCAAAAAAAACAAAAAACAAAAAATAAACAAACAAAGTAGTCTCTTTTAAGTAGGAGTTTCCTGGAGAACTGGTGGAATGTGGTTGGTATTAGTTAATGCCAAGTGAAAAAAAGCAGGTTTAATGTTTTGTATTTTTTGTATTTTTCTTTAACTTTGACCCTTTTTAATTTATTTTTCTCCTTGCTGTTTTTATTTTTTTTTATTTATTTTTAATTTTTTTCCCCTTTTCTTATATATATTTTTTTCTTTGCTGGATTTAGTTAAACTTTGTCTATATATATATATATATATATATATATATATATATATATATATATATATATATATATATATATATATATATATATATATATATATATATTCTCCTTGCTGGTTTTATTTAAAACGTTTCCCCTCCTTTTTTCATTTTTTTTCCCCCTCTCTTGTTGTTTATATTCCCCTCCTTGTGGGTGCTGCTGCTGTTGAGCTAATTAGGGGGAGTGCCCCTTGATTTCCACCTGTGTGGGATTTGTATTGCCAATTGAAACTAGAAGTAAGTTTAAACCAAATATTTTTTTAGCTCACTTGTGTTTTTGTAACTGGGGATGAGTGCTAGCAAGATTGCGATTTTAACTCTGTGCACATCATGCCGCATGTTTGCATGCCTGGATGATTCTGTTCAGGGTCCATACCTCTGTGGTGGGTGTGAGCGAGTGGCATTTCTGGAAACTCAGATTAGAGATCTGGAGAGTAGAGTTGAGCGGACACCTGGATGTTCGGGTCCGGCGGGTTCAGCTGAACTTTGAAAAAAAGTCCAGGTTCGGGCTCGATCTTGACCCCGAACTTGACCCCGAACCCCATTGAAGTCAATGTGGACCTGAACTTTTGGCCACAAAAATGCCTCTAAAAAACTCCTGGAAAGAGCTAGAGAGCTGCAAAAGCAAGTAAAATGGGGGTAAGAGTAGGACAAGTGCCCTGCAAACAAATATGGATAGGAAAATCACTTAAAATAACATAAAAATTTTAAATACAGCTGAGCCATAAAATAACACTAGATGGAATCTTTGATTTTAGCTTTGTAAGAACATAAATCAAAATCTAAAGCATGGCTGTGAGGAGGATCACCAGAATTATCCATTTGAGAGAGGGTTGGAGTACAGGGTATTCTCTTTCATTGTTCAAACTGAGCTCAACTCCTGATGCATGGAGAAAAGGCCTTCACAAGCTTCTGCTATTGTGCACATAGTTTACACTACGTGACCCATAGGTTGAGGACGCGGTGACCATGGCGGTGTAGGTGGAAGCAGCGGTGGAGGAGGACGAGGAGGCAGCCAACACTTTTTTTTTTTTTTTTTATTGTGGTAGCCAACAAAATATTGGGACATACAACAAAAGAAACATTTGCGGCCTGCGGTGCATTTCTTGCAGGCCTGATGCATGGAGAAATGCTTAACTCCTGATGCATGGAGAAAAGGTCTTCACAGGCCTCTGCTAATGTGTACCTAGTTTATACTAAGTGACCCATAGGTTGAAGAGGCGGTGACCTTGGCGCTGGAGGAGGAAGCAGTGGTGGAGGAGGAAGATAAGGTAGCCAACACTGTTTTTTTTTTGTTTTGTTTTTTAATTGTGGTAGCTCACAAAATATTGGGACATACAACAAAAGAATCATTTGCAGCCTGCGGTGTATTTCTTGCAGTCCTGATGCATGGAGAAATGCTCAAGTCCTGATGCATGGAGAAAAGCCTCTGCTAATGTGTACCTAGTTTATACTAAGTGACCCATAGGTTGAGGAGGCGGTGACCGTGGTGGTGGAGGAGGAGGATGAGGTAGCCAACACTGTTTTTATATATATATATATATATATATATATATTTTTTTTTTTATTTTTTACTTGAGGTAGCCCCCAAAATATTGGGACATATAAAAAAAAGCAACTCTGTTCCGCAGAGTAGCTGTTGACATTATAGTTGCGCAGGAACTTTGTTGACTCTAGAGAACCTCGGGCAAAACGCACATGCCCGTGGCGGCAACGACTTTGCATGCAGATGTCATCCATATCAACTGTCGATGCCAGTTTCTGCGCCTACCATGGTGACCACGGATAATGGGGATTCAGAGTTCCATTCCGTACAGGAACCCTGAGAAACGGCTACCACATGCAAGGAAGGCAGCAGGCGTGCAAATAACCCACTCCCAAGATAGGAAGGTAGTGACGACAAATAACTATACAGGACTCTTTAGAGGCCCTGTAATTGTAATGAGTCCACTTGAAATCCTTTAACTCTAATCAATTGGAGGGAAGTCTGGTGCAGAGCCACTGACCAGTGCGTGCTGCAGCTGAAACTCCACTATTGCCTGCTGCTGCTCGCACAGTCTCATGAGGCGGTGAGCGGGAAGGCCGAAGTTACGCTGCAGCACAGACAGGCGAGCAGCAGCAGGGTGACAATGCCAGAAGTGCACACAGCCACTACAGTGAATGTCACATCCTGTTCAAGTTGCGGGTCAGTCTGGTGATGGCTTCTGGTATCAAGTACTCTTTTTACTGAAGCTGCATCAGGGTCCTGGTATGTGGCCGCACAAACGCTGGTGCTCAACACCAGAGGGCGTGCGGTTACCCTGCACCAGACCCTGCTAATCCATTCCACACTGTGACTCTTAACTTCAACATCAGGCATACTGGATCCCGGTCGTCCAACCACTGCCCAGACAGTGTTTGGGTCCTGGTCACCGGACTGCCCACCTCACTGTGAAACTACGAATGGGTTGTTAAATCTGGTACGAACCTGAACTTTGCAGTTCGGGTTCGCTCAAGTCTATTATGGATCCTTTGATCGCTACATGTATTACTTGGAAAACACGTAATTCTCGAGCTAATACATGCCGACGAGCGCTAGGGGGCGGCCGCTCCGCTTTTGCACCCTGCTCTCTCTTATGCTGTGCTGGTGCCTCTGTGCGACCAGCGCCTCTTCCTCCAAGTAGCACAGGTCACTCGCATGACCTTGATTTCATGTGGGGTCTAGGACCTCATCATCCTCCACATCATCTTCCACCCACTCCTCAACCCTGCCCTCCTTGCCGGTATGCACACTGCAGAAAGCCACAGCAGTTGGCACCTATCTTTTTCCAGCATGTAAAGTCTGCAAAGGACATATCAAAATTGTTTTAGAATAATATACAGGCAACAGTTTTCCCTATAAACTGACCTCTCAGTTTGACTTGTGAAGGTATTGCCCCAGAATTACAATATTGTTGAAGTACCTCTTAGCTATTGATCACTAGTTTAAATATAGCAGCTTGTTATCTGGTAGTTTCTAGTGTAGAAAATATCAATTTGTTTTCTATCACTTAGATCTGTGTAACAAGTGTTGTAGGTGTGAAACAATATTACAAGTGACCGATGTAGTAAATAGTGATGCACCGAACAGTTCCTGGCGAACATAGCGTGTTCGCGTCCGCCGCGGACGGCGAACACATGCGCGGTTCGATCCGCCCCCTATTCGTCATCGTTGAGTAAACTTTGACCCTGTACCTCACAGTCAGCAGACACATTCCAGCCAATAGCAGCACACCCTCCCTAGCAGACCCTCCCACCTACTGGACAGCATCCATTTTAGATTCATTCTCAAGCTGCATGCTTAGTGAGAGGAGGGAAAGCGTAGCTGCTGTTGATTAAATAGGGAAATGCATAGCTAGGTTAGGGTATACAGTGTCCACTACAGTCCTGAAGGACTCATCTGATCTCTGCTGTAAGGACAGCACCCCAAAAAGCCCTTTTTAGGGCTAGAACATCAGTCTGCTTTTTTTTTTTTTGTGTAATGTAATTGCAGTTAGTTGTCTGCCACTGCTGCCAGCTTCTGTGTCAGGCTCACAGTGGATACTGTGCCCATTTGCCCAGTCAGTGCCACCACTCACTCACTGGTGTCACAATAGCTTGTATTTAAAAACAAAAAACTTTTTTCACTGTAATAGATTAAATAGCAGTCAGTGTCCTTAAAGCTGGTGTGTCAGGCTCACAGTGGATACTGTGCCCAGTGCCACAACTCACTCACTGGTGTCACAATAGCTTGCATTTAAAAACAAAAAACTTTTTTCACTGTTATAGATTGAATAGCAGTCAGTGTCCTTAAAGCTGGTGTGTCAGGCTCACAGTGGATACGGTGCCCAGTGCCACCACTCACTCACTGGTGTCACAATAGCTTGCATTTAAAAACAAAAAACTTTTTTCACTGTTATAGATTGAATAGCATCTAGTTCTCTTAAAGCGGGTGTGTCAGGCTCACAGTGGATATTGTGCCCAGTGCCACCACTCACTCACTGGTGTCACAATAGCTTGCATTTAAAAACAAAAAACTTTTTTCACTGTTATAGATTGAATAGCAGTCAGTGTCCTTAAAGCGGGTGTGTCAGGCTCACAGTGGATACTGTGCCCATTTGCCCAGTGCCACGACTCATATCTGGTATCACAATAGCTTAAGCTTGACATTTAAAAAGAAAAAAATGTTTTCACTGTAATAGATTGAATAGCAGTTAGTTGTCTGCAAGCGTCTGGGTGTCAGGCCTCCTTCAGCGTGTGCTCTGCAGACCTCTGCCCGTGTACTTTGCCACTCATATCTGGTGTCTCTATAGCATGCTTTTGCAAAGAAAAAAAGTTTTTCAGTGTAAGCTAATAGCAGTCAGTGTCCTTAAAGCGGGTGTCAGGCCTCCTTCAGCGTGTGCTCTGCAGACCTTTGCCCGTGTACTTTGCCACTCATATCTGGTGTCTCTATAGCGTGCTTTTACAAAGAAAAAAAGTTTTTCAGTGTAAGCTAATAGCAGTCAGTGTCCTTAAAGCGGGTGTCAGGCCTCCTTCAGCGTGTGCTCTGCAGACCTCTGCCCGTGTACTTTGCCACTCATATCTGGTGTCTCTATAGCGTGCTTTTACAAAGAAAAAAAGTTTTTCAGTGTATAGATTGAATAGCAGTTAGTTGTCTCAAAGCGGGTGTGTCAGCCCTACAGCGTGTACTCTGCCAGTTTACAGTGCCACTCATATCTGGTGTCACAATAGCGTGCATTTAAAACCAAAATTTTTCAGTTATAGATTGAATAGCAGTCAGTTGTCTCAAGCGGGTGTCAGCCCTACAGTGCTCTGCAACCTCTGCCAGTTCACAGTGCCACTCATATCTGGTGTCACAATAGCTTGCATTTAAAACAAAAACTTTTTTCACTGTTATAGATTGAATAGCAGTTAGTTGTCTTCAAGCGGTGTGTCAGGCCCAGCCTACAAGCGTGTACTCTGCCAGTTCACCGAACCTCATATCTGGTGTCACAATAGCGTGCATTTAAAAACCCAAAAACTTTTTCACTGTTATAGATTGAATAGCAGTTAGTTGTCTCAAAGCGGGTGTGTCAGCCCTACAGCGTGTACTCTGCCAGTTTACAGTGTCACTCATATCTGGTGTCACAATAGCGTGCATTTAAAAACCAAAAATCTTTTTTCACTGTCATAGATTGAATAGCAGTTAGTTGTCTCAAAGCGTGTGTTTGAGCCCTACAGTGTGTACTCTGCCAGTTCACAGTGCCACTCATATCTGGTGTCACAATAGCTTGCATTTAAAAACAAAAAACTTTTTTCACTGTTATAGATTGAATAGCAGTTAGTTGTCTCAAAGCGGGTGTATCAGCCCTACAGCGTGTACTCTGCCAGTTCACAGTGCCACTCATATCTGGTGTCATAATAGCTTGCATTTAAAAACAAAAACTTTTTCACTGTTGTAGGTGAATAGCAGTTAGTTGTCTGCCAGCAGGTGTATCAGGCTCACAGTGGATACTGTGCCCAGTGCCACCACTCACTCACTGGTACCGGGCCCGAAATTTCTTTTTCACAAAGGCAATCCCCAACCTGTACTTTCGATTGTGCAAAAGGAAATAATGGCATGTCTGGCACACAGTGTTGGGGCGGAGGTCCATCCTGACCACTGATACCTGGTCTGCAAAGCGCGTTCAAGGCAGGTATATCACCTACACTGCGCATTGGGTAAACCTGCTGACTGCTGCCAAGCATGGAATGCATGGCTCTGCAGAGGAGTTGGTGACACCGCCACGACTTGCAGGCAGTCTTGCTGCTACCTCCTCTACTCCTCCTACTCCATCCTCTTCCATAACCTCCTCGGCTGAGTCCTCTTCTGCTGCTGCGTCTTGCTCCACATCAACAGATAGGGGGCGTAACAGGGATTAAACTGATAAGAATAGTACTACTTAACACACCACTCCTATCTGGTGGCACATTAGATTGCACGCGAAGTGCCCCAAATTTGTTGTGATCTGTGAGTAAGGTAAACGGTTGTCCATACAAGTAAGATTGCAGCTTTTTGAGGGCC